AACTGCTGGTTTTAGTAATTATTAAATTAAACGAACTAAAAAGTCTTAAAAATAAACAATTCTTAACCATAACCCCAAAAAATACAGATCTCCTGTCAACTTTCTTTATTTTTTATTTATTCATTGTTTTCCTAGTGACGTCACAGGTGGTATGCGCAAACTGAACGAAATTGGAGCCGCTATCGATCATACCTTGTATTCTTTGTACCATGCTATCAACGAGTATTTATGAATGAGATGTTCGGTCTATCTTTATAATGTCTTTGTGTATAACATACCAATTCTGTTTTTTTTTCTGAAAAAAAAATAAAAAAGTATAGAGGTGAGCCACTTTTAAGACCACCCGGTATAACTCAAAAAGTAAAAAAAAGTTTATCCTCCTTTAAAGGCGATCCAAGTATTAAAGCAAATACGTACAAGGATAAATATAAAAAAAGATTCAACTCATATTCCATTTGACCTACAAAAAAAATGAAGTAAATCCACAATTTAGCAAGGACAAATTGGAACAAATTGCTCTTTCTCCACACCGTCCTTCGGAGCAGTTGATTTACTCAGGCCGATAAAGAGCTCGTTACTGCCGAATTACGGGGAGAGAGGTTAAATAAAATTTAATTTCCAACTAAGGTATAATGTATGTGTTAATGGGTGGAAACCGTAACGGAGTTCGTTTTAATCATGTCTTACGTTCGCGCCACACGCGCGCTTTGTTCGCTAAGAACCGAATTTACTATAAAATGGTTTCCAGCTATATATTCTCGATTTTACCATCTGCCAATGCCAATCGATTGATTTAGTTTGCAGGCTTTGATGAATTAATTCATGGCACGCTGTGAACTGAAATTGTCCCGGAATGTCTAACAATATTCTCATGTGTTTATTTAATTATTTTTTATTATTTCGTGTGACTAGCAATAATCATTGAATTATCGTTGTTAAAATCATATATAAATAAAATCAGACAATATCAAATCTATTAAATATAGTTTTCTAGATTTTTCTCGACTGGAAAGTCAGTTACCAGTAGCGGCTAGACAGCTAACTTTTAATCCGTAAGGATATTTTGAGATTTTTAATCTTTTCCTTCCATTATAAACTTAATTCTACCTAAAGTTCAAAATTTGAAGTTTGTAGCACTTTAGAATTGTACTTTAGAATTTTGATGACGGTCGGTTAGTCACTGACGAATTTAAAGAAGTGTGACAAGCAATAATTCATAATCCTTGAATTTATTAGGTTTGTTCCAACCAGCATTTCGGGGTCGTTTCGAAATCGTACTCGAATCGGTTTTCTTGCACTTTGTTAGCATGCGCGGACTTCGAATAGTTTCGTGACGGTGCAAAAAGTATCAACGTTGGAACGCCTTGTGGATTGTTTTCGGGACTGTCAAAAGTGTCAAGCGTGCGTGTTTCGATCGGTTTTTTGTTTTTGTTTAGAATTTCATAACATAACCCTATTTTATATTTTTAACAAACAAACTCACAAGCAAAAGTATAACGCACACGTATTCTAATTCCTAAAAAATAACCAAGAGAGAAGCATCAGCCGGGCGCCGGACCAGAATCAGCTGTTAAAAATCGATAATCCCTGCCAATATGCTTTAATGCGCAAGTCAACCCAAACAGTTCTTAATTTGGACAATGTACCGAAATTACCGTTCTGAAATCGTACTAAGCGATCCCAAGGTAGGTTGGTACGCAAATAGGATCGTCCGATAACCGTCAAATCTCGGTTGGAACACATTAGAATTACTGCGCACGTCGTTCGGTGACGGTTCTGCGGCGGGTTGGAACAAACCTATTATTGTTACATTCGTATAGAAATAAAATCAGACAATATCAAATCGATTAATTCTAATTTTCTACCTTTCTCTAGACTGGAAAATCAGCTATCCATAGCGGCTAGACAGCTAACTTTTAATCCATAAAGATATTTTGAGATTTTTCATTTTTTCCTTCCGTTATAAACTTAATTCTACCTTAATTTCAAACTTTGAAGTTTGTAGCACTTCTAGAAGTACCTTAGAATTTTAAAGAAGTTTCAGTAACACTAATTCATAATCCTTGAATTGTTGTTGCTACATTCATATACAATTACAATAAAGTATTTTAATATTTTACATTTTTTCCTTCTGTTATAAGTTTAAAGCTATCGAAAATTCAAAATTTGAAGTTTGTGACACATCTAGAAGTACCTTAGAATTTTGATGATGTGTCACTGAGTCAATATCGAAATTAAAGAAATTTAAAAATAAAAAATAAACTTCAAAAATTAATAATATTTTTACGAATATTTTTCTAAACGATTTACGAATATTTTTCAAAAAAAAACTGGGCCACAGATTTTTTTCTACTATTAACACAATTCTGTAGACAGTTTAATGTCGATTTAAAGTTGTCTCTCGATATTTTGTCGATTTCGATTTCCTTGATGAAATAAACGCAATTATTTAATTTTAATTTTTAATTATCCTTAATCCAAGTCTAATAGCAACCTATAAAATGTTTTAATATAATTAACTGACCACATTGTTAAATAAGTACTGACTGGTTCATCATCAAAATATATAAGAAAAAGTTGCTATTAACAAGGTTGTGGAAATGCATAGTTTTACAGTTATAGGATGTTAAAACTTTAAAAAAATGTCTTTTGGAGTTATCTTAAATACCATTATTTTTTTGGAATTTACTGTTACTACAGTAAATTTAGTTATGCCAGTTTTTGCAATCTGTCGAATATCGGCAGATTGCAAAGCGTTTCAGTTGAATTCCGTCCGTCGAGCTGGGAGGTTCGAGCGTTGCGTCTCAGCACAGAGACGGATTGACAAAAAATGAGTGCCTTACTGTGTGCTGCTATTAATTGTAGTAATAACTCAAAAAATTGTTCTTTGAGTTTTTTTAGATTTCCATCGGATGTAAATCGGCAAGCTGATTAGCAATAAACATTTAATTATATTTGTTTATTTTAGAAGCTGAGATATTATGTAATTAATTAAATGTTATTAGTATTTTAGCATGTGGGCAGATTTTAAAAATAGCTTTTTGAAAATATTTTTTGGTCAGGGGATTTGCCATAAAATTTTCATTCCAATAATAATTTACGAGATAATTTATATAGATTGGTTTTTGAAACAACTTTAGAGTAAATCTTTTGCATATCTAAAGTATCCGCAAATTATTCATATTTTTTTAATTGAAAGAATTTTATAATAGCATAATCTCTTATAAATTTATTGGACTGTTTTTTTTTTTAATTTTATTTATTTTTTTATTATAAGTGGTCGTAATATAACAATTTTCAAAATATTATAGACAAAATATTGAGTTTATATCCACCGTAAATATACAGGGTGGCCCATTAGTGCGAGGAAGTCCAATATCGTCGTCGTTGTCGAAGATGTAAAAAAAGTTTTATTCATATGTTTCAAGGTTTATAAAGGGGCGTATCCTAAAATATTTTGTTATATAATCAGGGAAAAGTTATGGGAAAGTTAGTTTTATTAATTTTTAATTATTTTACATCATTCTATAATATATATTATTCTATATAGGGTATTTTTTATGGCGTCACCAAAATCGGAATATTTAAAATGGTATATCTCATTTTTTTTAAATGCAACATTCTGTATATTATTTTTCTGTCAGATGCAGAATTAAAAAGTGAACATTTTTTTTATTTAAAGTGTTTCTAAATTCTTCTTTTTTATCAAAGCCACCTAATATGATCTTTGTCTGATATTTTATCGTTGAAAATCCCATATGTAATAGGAAATACAGAAAACAGAAAATATGAAATACAGAAAATATTTGCAAAACGGCTAAAAATTTAAACATCTGAAAGAAAAATGATATACAAGGTGTTGCATTTAAAAAAAATGAGATACAACATTTTAAATATTACGATTTTCTTGACGCCATAAAAAATACCGTGTATATGATAAAGTAAATTTTTCCACACGAATTATTCATTGTGGTATCCTTCATGTTTAAGAAAATATAGCTAAGCATTAATAAAGTTATATTCACTCTAGTTTTTTACCACTTTTCGTATATACTGTTTTTAACCAAAGTTTTAGTAAATAAGAAATAGAATGGCAACACCGCAGTGTGCTTTAAATAATGACAGTATACTATATGCAGAATTTTATGCCGAATCCAGTTATCTACAGAAAATTAAACTTGTTTTAAATAAAAAAAAAAGTTGTAGAAAATCTCTGAAATAGATAATAATATAAAAATATGTCATTATACCTATACTTTTTCCGCATTTCTTCCCATCAGAAGATTTTCAGATACAAAAGAATTGTTACCAACACGAAATGTGAAAATATTCTGTTTTTAAGCAAGTTTTTACTCGATGATCAATTTTTTTTATTTTATTTTATTGTGAACTCACATTTTCCTAAATACATATTATCTATGAAACTATGGTGAGTGCCACGACTATTCTTTGTCTAGTTAATAGACCACAACTATATAGCTACGTCAGTGGTCAAAGATCATATAAAGTGGCAGAAAAAGAACAAAGGATTTGACAAGGAGTAAAGCTACTAGTTTCTTTATACTATGATTAAAATTAGTAAATAAAAAATATTGTTATTGCATGAATTTTTCTTTTATTTTAATTTTATTAATTGTGAAAACATCAAGACACAACATTTAATCGGTATTAAATGGATACACAAGATACACAATTTAGTTAATAAGGGAAAATAAGTCAGTTCTAAAAGATTTAAGACTTTTGTAAAAGACTTAAGTCATTAACAAAAGATTTAAATCTTTTTTACTGACTTAAATCTTACGTGAGGAATTTCCTGAATGGTTTTTGAAACGCGCTGTAAACCTAAAATCATACATAAACCGAAAACGTGTTATATAAATCAAATTATTTTCATTTTTCTAAAACTCCAACAACATAAACAACCGATCTAGCTGTCGTCTAGATTGAAAGCGTACACCCGTAAACGGCCGATCTCATTCATCATTCTCGCTTTCTTCCAGATGTGCTCTGTTTGAAAAACGTCGCCCTGTTCATAGAGCCGGACGTGGTCCAGTACAAGGACAAATCGACGCTGAGATGCACGTACGATCTCGAGGACGATGTCCTGTACTCTGTCAAATGGTACAGAGGGAGCCACGAGCTGTACAGGTACATTCCCGGAGAAAGACCGAGTATCAAGTTTTTCACGGTGCCGGGAGTAACTGTGGACGTAAGTAAAATCCTATATTGAATAAATAATCCCATTAAAAACATAAAATGTAATGCCAAGTCTCACAACACAATTCTTCTACGGTAAAAAGTTGTAAGATCTCATGTCAAACCAAGTCAGTATATTTTATTTAGTTTCTACACTCACCGGCACGAGTGTTCACCACATACGACACGGAGTATTGTAGCTAAACGATTAGAATTTTACAAATTGTAAGTTTTGGGTTCGTCGAACGACTATTAAGGTGCGTATTCACTATCCGAACAAACGAACGAACGAGCGAACGAATGGAATTCGGTATATTTGGACGGGGAACCGAACGCATGCGGCCGTTCGTTCGTTCGTTTGCTCGACCATCCGTTTCGAGTCGGTACATCAAAGGAGTTCAAAACGAATGGGTAGATGTTGTTCGTTCGGTTCTAAAATTCGGTCCCGTCCATACTACTACCGAACGAACCAACGAATGTTCGTTCGTTCGTTCGGATAGTGAATACGCACCTTTAGAGCTACAATTTAAAAATATTTTTACAAGATACAGTGTCCCAAATAAATAAAAAATATCAAAGTTGTATTTTTTTAAATGGAACATCCTATATATTATTACATTTTTAGTTTCTATGAATAAAATAAAGGTAAATTTGATTAAGGTTTATCACCCTTAAACCTTACCGTTTTTGAAATATTTTCAATTTTGTGAAATTGCAGTAAAATTTTTAAGGCTTCATTTCTCCAAGGGTATCAAAGTTTTTAATACTAAATATTTACTGAAGTTTAATTATTGATCAGTTATTGTGTTGCAACAATAAAAATTATACTACCTTATACAAAGTGTTCAAAAAATTATATTAAATAATTACTAGCTTTCAACGGCAATAACTTGTTTAATTTAAATGGAACTGTATATATGTATATTTTACCTAAAACATCAAAATCGGTACCAAGAACTTCAAGACATTAATGTTAGTTTATTTTTATTCAAAATTAATTTTGAGTTGTGTATCTTAATATTGCCTAATACCACAGAATATCTAGCTACGCAACAGAAAAATACTCGAAATGAAAGAGCTAAAATTGCACAAATAGAATACTAGATGGCGCGATAATATCATAATCTGAATATAATTAGAAATTTTGAACTTTCGGTTTTGGATCGACGGCTCGTCGACGGCCTTATAGCTCGGCTAAATATGCACAGTTGCCAGATTCAAAAAGACTTGAATTGGCATCCCATTCTTTTTATTGTGTATAATGCAGTATGTGTTTCTTTCTATTCTTCTTTTCTTGTCAGATACACTTATATTAATTATTCCTTTGGCTATTAAAATAGTTTTAAGTATATTATTACAAAACATATACATTTTTAATATACACTACCTTATAATGTTAACTAAGAAAATATCTTTAATTACCTTTAAAATTAATAATATACAGGGCGATTGATAGTGATATTTATTAATGCTGGAACGTTAGTAATGAAATATAAGTTTAATAATAATGGAAATAATTTATTAAAATGCAGTACAAAAAATGTTAACTGACTAAAAAATACTATAATAACAAATTTCTTCCGTTTGCCATGTTATTTATATAGACCTAGGTAGATTTTAAAAAGTGACACAGGTACAATTAATAATATATTAGTTCGGCATAAAAGTTGCTGTCACGACATCGAACAATAAATTAAAATTAGTAAAATAAATTAAAATTATTAATTAAACAAATCTTTATAAAGAAACGCAACTATACCAAATTTGGGCCCAATCGAACTCCAGGAAATGATATCATAATAGTGTACTATATTATGGTACCACTCGATATACTTTAAGGTATCATAATATTGGAATGTCACCTAAGATCCGTAGTATACCAAATTTAAGAACAATCGAACGCCATGAAATGGTATCGTAATATGGTACTATATTAAGGTACCACTTTATATACATCATAGTTCAATCATATTACAATGTAACCGAAGATACGTAGTATACCAAGTTTGAGCCCAATCGAACGCCAGGAAATGGTATCGTAATATGGTACTATATTATGGTACCACTTTATATGCATCATAGTACCATCATATTACAATGTATGTATATACACATCATCATATTATTGGGTACCATCATATTACAATGATAGTATATGTACAAATACTATCCCAAGTTTAAGCCCAATCGAACGCCATGTACGTAATATAGTACTATATTATGGTACCAGTTGATATGCTTTATGGTACCATAATAATGCAATGTCATCAAAAATACGCAAGTATATATCAAATATGAGCTCAATCGAACGCCAGGAATATATGCATCATAGTACCATCATATTACAATGTAACCGAAGATACGTAGTATAACAAGTTTAAGTCCAATCGAACGCCAGGAAATGGTATCGTAATATGGTACTATATTATGGTACGTCTTATTTTGCTCCATGGTACCATAATATTACAATATCACCGAAGATACGTAGTATCCCAAATTTAAGCCCAATCGAACGCCATGTACATAATATGTACCATATTATGTACATGATATGCATCATAGTACCATCATATTACAATGTCACCGAAAATACGTAGTATACCAAGTTTAAGCCCTATTGCCGCCATGTACCTAATATTGCTATGTCATCAAATATGGTACTATAGAAGGTACCACTTTATACGCTCCATGGTACCATGATATTACAATGTCACTGAAGATATAGTATACCAAGTTTAAGCCCAATCGAACGCCATGTATCGTAATATAGTACTATATTATGGTATCACTTGATATGCTTCTGAAAAAAACGGCGGCCAGTTGGCTGGAAAAGGACGATCGATGACATTTCCCATATAAATTTACATATAAAATGACAGTGATATTCATTTCATAGCTATCGCTAACGCCGTTTTTTCCTGATTATACAATATGAACTTGGTATGAACACAATCGAACGTCAGGAAGTGGTGTCATAATAGTAGAACAATACTTATTATATTGTCGCCGAATTACAATGAAAATTCAGGATTCAATTATACAATCAAACGTCAGGAAGTGATTGTAGTTTAGCTCATAAGATTTAATTCCAACTAACATGGCAAACTGAAAAAAACAGCTCTGATCTATTTTAATATGTTTAAATGATGTTGCAAATTTGAAGGTAGGCTTTATCAGGAAGTATTACGATATGAATTACACAATGGCAACACTGCACAAAATTCTTCTAAATTTTGTTTGTAGAAAACTGTTTTCTTTTAAATATATTGCCCTCTATTATGTAGTAGCGAAACTACCACATCAAAATATCTGATTTGGAGACAGACTTTTAAAGCCTGTCTCCTTTTGCTACCTACAATTTTATACATGTAACGAGGCTTCTGTTGCGTAGCTAGATATTCTGTGCTAATACATACTGTTCTATTCGACATTTTTCATACTTCCTAAAACTAATGAAATACTGGAATCTACTCCATCGTTGGCTCACCCTGTACAGATATTTTCTACGTGAAACGCTCGGCATAAAGATCTTCGCCTTAGCGAAAGTCACGGTAAATGAAGGGAGCGTCTTATTAATGGCTGTGAAGTAGGATTCGAGGCTGCTACTAAAGCGGTTGCATTTTTACGGTAAAATATTAAACCTCGGTTTTATTATGCAAATTCTGCAAGAAACACGAGGGTGGAAGGGTTAATTAAGCATATTAGAGAAGAAAAAAGTTACAAAATGTTAAAATCACATACATAATATACCGGGTGCATGTCAAAGGTGGCTCACACCCTATAACTTTTTTATTTTTTCGGATAAAAAAACGAAATTTGGTATGTTAGTATATGATATAAATTAGGATTGATTGACTACAATTTTTGATTCTTAAATGGCACCCTCGGTATTTCTTTACTTCATTCGATAGAAAATGATATTCTGAATAGAATGACATAGCATATGCCAACTTTTGACATTTTCACTTAAAAAAAAATCGTATTTTAAATTTCAATCTAGAGTGCCATGCCTAACCAGTGGCGTAACGCTACTACCGCAACCCCCCGCAGCTGCGGGGAGGCCCAGGCCCAAAGGGGGTCCAGGCCCGAAACCTCCGAGGTCCGGGAAAGCCTGTTCCTATGACAATTTTTTTTCCAAATTGAAAATCATCAAAAATTATTTACGAAATAGTTCCTCTCAGACAAGGTTAACTAACTTGGCTATACTGTCCATAGAGGCGCAAGAGGCGATAATAAAAAATTTCGCGGAGGCAAAAGCTAGAAAAAACACAATTTACCTCCTTAAGAAATTCAAGTTTTTGTACTTAATTTTAAATATTTTAGTTTATAAGTCACTGTTGTTTATCAGTTCCTAGTATGATAGTATGGCTACCTTAGCTACTTGAATTTTTTTATTTTGTTTCTTTTTCGCTAGATTAGCAAACCAAAGATTTTTTTAGTTTATATTGCTTTAGTTTTGAAGAGTATTTTTTATTTTGTTTTTGTTCCTTATTATTGTTCGCTACTAGGCGTACTAGGTGCCTGAACATTTTTCAGTTTTTGCTCCTTCTAGTTTCAAAGAATATTTTTGGCCTTGTTCCTTGTTCGAAAATAATATTTTTTGTATTGTAACGTTCTTCGCACATCGTGTATTCTATATATTTTTTTGTTTTTATATGCATTAAATTTGAATTTTATATTAGGTTTGAAGTTGAGATATATTCCCCAATTTTGTTTTCTGAATTGGTCATACAAGCTTACCTAACCTAACCAAACTAATATATAAAATCTTTAAATGACTGACATACTGATTAATCACGATCCTGCTCAAACCACTCAACGTAAGAAGCTCAATTTTGGCATACAGGTTGATTCTAGGGTGTAGAGGTTCGATAAGAAGGGATTTTTCGAAATTCCAGTTCCATGAGGGTGAAACTACCCCTCAAATATTACAATATTTTTTATTTAAAAAACAATCAAGTTTCCGAAAAAACGCTTAAACACGTATATTTTATTTTGTTTTTTACATATTTT